CTGGTGTAAATATTCACACCATTGGCTGATTTCAAGGTAGTCTGTGGAGGTCACTCTTTGAGGAGGTGGGGAGAGAAAGGCACAATCAGCTCTTCCGAGTTGGTGTGATAGGGCTCCAGCACATCACTGGTCTGGCTGAATATTTTACCATGCATTAGTCTCATAGCTTGGCAAGGAGATGAGGGAGGGCTGGCCATATAAGGCTTAAATGAAGCCAAGGGGGTGAACAATACTGGTCAGGGGAACATATTAAAATAAAAAGAGAAAACCAGTGTTGGGAGATTTGTAAAGAAATAGGAGTCAGAAAAAGAGTGGTTAAAGAGGCAGAAGACTCAGAAAAGAACTAGACTCACGAAATAGAAGAGAAGAACTAGTTTCAGGGAGGAAGGTTAGTCAATAGTCTCAAATACCAGAGATCAAATAGCCTAAGGACTTAAAGCAGGTCAGCAGCATTCCCAAGTAAGCGGTCTCTCTGAGCTTGAGATATTTTTCTCTGTACTTTTCTACGTTAAAAATATTTTATAAGGAAAAAAAGAAATCTCATCTCTCCCTATCCCCCACCTTTAAGGAAGTCATTAATGAATTTGGACAGAACAAACTCAGAGCTGTAAGAATGAAAATTTGACTGCCGTGGGCTGAGAAGGTAATGAAAGGGAAGGGGGTAGAGGTGAAACCTTTCTAGCATTATGGCCTTTAAGGGAAAGATAGCTTGAAGGAAGGAAGGTTGGAAGGATAGCTTTTAAAAGAGTTACAGCTCACTAATCAACTAGAAATTTGGAGGACTACACAATATCTGTCTGTAATCCAGCCTAACCTCTTGATCTCAATGACAAGCAGAGCAAATGTTTTAGTCAAGTCCAGAAGCAATAATGGCTTTCAATCTTGCTGGTGTGTCAACAGGAATCACATTAATTCTGTGATTACATTGGTCCAATTAAATTGAATGATTGAGATCCTATGTAGTACACCATCTACTCCAAAGACAATGGTGGTTCCTTGTACTTTTTTATTTGACCATTGATTGCTTGACAATTTGCTTCTGTGACTAACCACGTACTGCAAATAAGCTGAGTCAAATTTGAATTGTAGGTCCTTTTATTTCTCCTTATTTGGAAGATGGTCTATTTTTTTTTAATTGAGGCATCTCTTACTCTACACAGATTCTCCAAGATTACAACTATTAGTCCTTCTTAAAATAAATTGATCTTTAAAAAATTATTTTATAATATTTTTTATTCTTCATTGATTTCCTGCCATGTTTTTTTTTTTTTTTCGGAGTTTCTGGAAACCTAACAGTGGGAATACTAAACAAAATCTCTCACGTGTGGTAAAAAAATTTTTAGACAATGTGTATATCTACATGTGTACAGAGAAGAGAACAGATACATAGCAAAGCAACCTCCAAGCAAAACCTTTTAGGTAACCCCTAATTTAAAAGCCCCAAGGGATGATAACATTGAGCTTCTCTGTAGCTCCATGACCTCCAACAGGGTCTCCAAGGCCAAGTCTGCCTGAAGGTTGATTCTGTAATTAGATGCCAGGATCATCTCAGAATAGAACCTCATGCCAGGCCACATTTATGGAATCAGCTTCTCCTGAGCAAACCAACAGCAACAAAGGGCCTTCCTACTTATTTAAGAAGGTCACTTAGTGGGGGAGGCTTGGGGTTTTGGTGCTGGTGTTAGCAGGAGTTAAAATACTTGGAGAAAAGCTCACTGAAGTATACTCTGAAACAAATCAACCTATAATACTTGCAAAGGAAAAGAAGCCAAACTCTGTAAAATAATTTGAAGAGGCTTATTCTGGGCCAGGTTTGAAAACTGTGGCTAGAGCCATGTCCAGGAAGCCATGAGCAAGTGGACTTGCAGTGATTGGGTTATAGTTCAGTTGTATACATTTCAGAGAGACAGAAATTACAGCTAAAGTCATAAATCTGTACATGAAAGGCACACATTGGTTTGGCCCGAAAAGGTGGGACATCTCAAAGTGTGGGGTGGGGGCTGGGCTTACAAGTCATAGGTGGATTTCTTTGGTGGAGAACTGGCAGAAAGGGTTAGGTTTTGTCTGAAAGATCTCGGCAAGAAAGGAACGCAAGTTAAAATTAGGGTCTGTTAATTAGAGAAAAGCCAGGGCCCTATACCCAGACTCAGGTGATTTGTTACGTATATTGAGGACCTGCAAGTTTGTCTTGGGCCTGTTTAATGAGCTACAACGGATGTCTCTAAGAAGGGAGGGAGGCATCATAAGGAATGTCTGACCTTTCTCATGGCTAGCAACTCTGTTTTAGGGTATTATTTTGGATGAAGGGGGTCCATTCAGTTAGCCAGTGTGAGGGGAGAGCCTTTAGAGTTTCAGTTCACATATCAAGGACTGGAGGAGAAAGAATTGACACTCTTTGCAAGCTTCTTTCTCTAGGGGCACATTTCTTAGACTCTAATTTTTGGAATTTAGTCTTTTTTATCCTGCGAAGCTGTCATGCTTGCAATGCGTGGGCTTATTGTCAGCAGTCTTGTGTCCCGCGTAACCTGGCTGAATCATTTAGCCTCTTTGGGGGTTTGAGCTCTTCTAACAGTAGAAATTAACAAGACTAATAAACATATTTCAAACATTATACTATATTGATGTGCTCTTTGCCAGGGAGGAGCAGATTCTTTTCTTTTTTTTTTTTGAGACAGAGCTTCAAGCTACCCCCCTGGGTAGGGTGCCCTGACATCACAGCTCATGGCAACCTCCAATTCCTGGACTCAAGCGAGACTCCTGCCTCAGCCTCCCAAGTAGCTGGGACCACAGGTGCCCGCCACAACGCCCGGCTATGTTTTGCTTGCAGCCATCATTGTTGTTTGGCAGGCCAAGGCTGGATTTGAACCCACCACCTTAGGTGTATGTGGCTGGCGCCTTAGCCACTTGAGCCACGGGCGCCGAGCCGAGGAGCAGATTCTTAACATCATAGTTTAGATTTAGCTACCATGATCAAGTTTGGCCATAGGCTTATATATTTAGAATCAATGGCTGTTCTCTCCATAGAACTTTTGATTTTCTTCATGGGCTCACTACCTTGCCAGCCTCTTATAGCTGTCTTATTTGTGTAGGGCTTCCTGTTGCCCATTCCCATTAAAGCACTCGAAGGGATTACCTTAATAGGGGTGTTCTTTGGAACCATATCCTTCAAAATTCAAAAAAGAAAGATTTTGGTGGTAGGACTTTAAATGCTGTAATAGGGGAAGGAGAAGGGAGGAGACAGAGGATCAGAGAGACCTCATCACTCCCTGAAGTCACTAGGAATCTTAACACTCCCTCTAGGAGCTTCCCTCTATATTCAAGAGGCGGAGAGATGGTTTTCAACTCTATGCTAGTCCTAGAGTTTTACAAGTTTGTCCTGGAAAAAACTTCACAGGCTGTAAATGGCACCTGAAAATGACATTACTAGTCAGCTCATAACAGTCTTTCTGTTTATAGTGTCATTTTTCCAAGGAGCTCAAAGGTTTTAATAAAATTTACTTTCAGAAAACTCAGGTGAGGAAGTGAGAACATACATGTTCTGTCCATTTTAAAAGATAAACACAGGCAGAAAGGCTTTACCTAAATTGCTCATCATGTGGCTACATCAAGTTTGGCCCCAGACCCAATCTCTTAACCAGGATTGTCCTTTAAGGCAAAAGGATTGCCTTTCCTGGGCTCTGGGCTTTTTAGCAGGCTCAGCTCTGGGCCTTCTCAAACTCCCATCCCTTGCCTAAGGGCAAGTAGGCCATGCCACCCAGAGTTAGGAGTACCTGGGACTCCAGAATTTCTTGCCCTAAGGCTCCCAAGTGCACTTCCAGGGTCTGCTTGGGCCTCTTGCTTGGGTCCATCTCAAGTTTTGGCAAAACCACTGATGTGTGCACCTGGGCTTGAGTTGTGGCCCTGAGGTGGCCTACTGACTGTAGTGTGGAGGGGGCTTGTGCAGCTGGACGTCCACATGCAGGCAGTGGAAATTCTTGAATATGATGGAGTTGGAGGATGTGAAGAGAAGCCGGTTGAGTGTAGCTCTCTTAATCCATGTTTTTGCCAAAATCCAGGTCCACCTGTGAGGAGTCTAACGGGAACCTGTCCTTCAAGGTTGCTACAAAGGTATCTTTGTCAAGATAGGAAACATTTATTTTACGTTTTATTGGCTTGATTTAATACCTAAATATTTAGACATACAGTTTGTGGACTTCCATTTGTACTCTTGCCTCTGCCACTCAGATATTTTGGGAGATCTTGCTTGTGCCTGCCAAAGCCAAAGGCAAAGCCCAGGGAGAGAAGCAGAAGCACAGCGGCTTTATACTTCACACCACTGCGATTCTTTAGCTATGCTTTGCAAATCTATACAAGCTAAAGTACAAGTCCTGTGCGTTTATCACAAGGATGCTGACCAATATAATGAAAACAAAAGGGAGGCTGGTCCACTTTGTTCTGTTTTGTTGTTGTTTGTTTGCGGCCTCCCTCTTCCCAATTTGTGAAGCAAAGGAGGGAGATGTTCTTTACCGGTCCTCTGAGGGCTCTGGGGTCCTGGCTGGGAATCTCAAGGTTTGTGGTGGAGAAACAAAACCAGCCCGCTATGGAGGGGACTGTCCACCCTCCGTCACCCCAGATCTTTGAAAGGAAAGAAAGACAAAAAAGAGCTGGCGTCTTGAGGGTTTCAGTCTTAAACTCTCCCCCATCCCTCCAACTGAGTAAACTAACAATAGAAAAAAAAAAAAAACCTGCAGCAAAGCAGAGTTTAGATAAAGTGCTCTGCATAGTGCCTTTGGCTGCCGGGAACTTGAGTCTCGGGCCAGCCCCAAGCCCGGCGTTTCCCGCTCGGGCAGGGGGAGGGGACTGAGGACCCCGCGACCCCGCCGCGGCCCTCCTACCATCCAGCTTCCAGTCCCCTGTCCGGAGGGAGCGGCTGGACGTCGCCCGTTTAAGGGGCGGGCCGCGGCTCCACGTGCTTTCTGCTGAGTGACTGAACTACATAAACAGAGGCCGGGAGGGGGCGGGGAGGAGGGAGAGAACAGGCTCTGACCGATAGTAACCCCTGCGCTCAGTGCAGCCGAATCTATAAAAGGAACTAGTCTCGGCAAAAAACCCGTAATTCCGAGGGAGACTGAGTGGGGCCAGGACCCGCCGAGCCGGGCGGACACCTCTCTCCCCGGGCGTGGGTGTGCAGGGCAAGGGGGCGCCGCAGGGCCCGCACCGCCAGGGCTAATTTCTCGGGGCGCTTTGCTCCCTGTTTTTTTGTCCCACTTTTCCCTCTCCCCTTTTCGAGAAAGGGCTTGTCAAGGGAGGGAAAGAGACGCAAACATAAAAGTGGAAATCAGGTAAGAAGCTCTCCAGGGACTTGGTTATTGTTTTGCCTCGGGGTCGAGGAGGTTTGGGAAGCCTTGTTTCGTGTACTTCGGTCGGGATCCCCACATCCTCACATCTTGCAGCACGAACGTGGCGGGGGAACGTGTAAATGGGGCGAGGAGGTCCTCAGAGGAGCTCTGGCGACCGCGGGTCGCGGGTGCGCTCGGGGTTCGCCCGGCTGTGGAGCCCTGGAAGCATCTCTGGGCGTGGAGAGCCGGGCGCAGACCTGGGGCGCGACGGGGTCGGGGGCTCCTGGGATTGCTGCCGGGGTGGAGAGAGTGGCAGGTCCAGCGTGGAGCCCTTCCCTTTGTTCGGAATCGCCTGAGCCGGCTGGAAACCCCTCTGGTGGCGGGTCGGCCGGCGCCCACCGGGACAAATGCCGGTCCTGAGCGCTAGATTTTTAAGAAGCTGATCTGAGTTGGGCTCTGACCTGGGAATCGGCTCCATGAGCCCTGGGACTGGAGCGACGCATCTTTGCTCCCCTCAAAACTCGAGTAGGAGTATTGCCCAACGGGGTCTGTTGTGCTATTGCCCGGTGGGCTTTGTTTCACCTGGGGGTCCTGCCTACAGTCTCCGTGCGCTGGTGACCCTGACGCAGCCTGGGGACGAATTTTGGTTCTTTTAAAAACAAGACTTAGGAGACCGTGTGGAGACCGGGCGTTGGGGTGCCCGTTCCGTCCCCCATCTTCCTGCCCTTTGCTGTGCGTCTCTTGGGGCAGCTTCAGGCTGGGCACGGATGGGGAAGCTGGGGCGAGGTGGTGCAGCGGAATGACCGAGAGTAACCCCGGCGGGTGGTGCAGAACTCGGAGCTCCGCGTCTGGGCCGGGCTCTGCCGCGAGCGCGGGAGGGGGGCGGGGCGTGGGCTGTGGGTGGCCCCGGGAGACTGGCCCGCAGCGCCTCCTGGCCGGGTGACCTAGGAATCGGCCTGGTGGCGGGACTGAGGCCGGGCTCTGCAAAGCGTCGTCGCTTACCGTTTTGACTGAATCTGGCGAAAGTCTAGTGATTGCCTACTAGGAGGAACCCTGGGGGTTCAGTTGAAAGTCAGCCTCCTGGCTGACTTTGGTTAACTTGTTTTCTGACTCCTAGGCCATTGCTACATTAGAAAAGATTCTTAGGGAGTTGGCTGGTGCTGATCTTTTCAAACAAAAGTCAAACACAAACTGAGAAAGAACTTAATTTCTCCTGTGTTTCAGCCTGTTTTTCTCATACCTACACAAAACTAATGGAGGCTTTCTGTCGTTCATTCAATTTCTTGGGAAACTTCTCCCAAATCAAAGAAAGTGTGGAAGCATGGAAAATATTCCCGAGTAGAACCTCTACAGATAGTGTAATGATTTTCACATACAAAATTTCCATTGTGGGGTGGCGCCTGTGGCTTAAAGGAATAGAGCGCTAGCCCCATATGCCCAGAGGTGGCAGGTTCAAACCCAGTCCCGGCCAAAAACTGCCAAAAAAAAAAAAAAAAAAAAAGAAACAAAATTTCCATTGTTGGCCAGTTTTCCAGTCATAAACCGTTTTTGGTTTATCATTAATCATAAACCATTAACTTATGATAGGGATTTTTGGGAAAACATTGGATACACAGAGCGAATCAGTATTTACTTGAAACAAGTAGAATCAGGCAGACCAGGGGAGAGGGTTTCCAGCTTTGATGATGTGCACAGTTCATTTAAGGGACAAGAATTGCTACTGTAGTCAGAGTAATCCACCAGTCCCTCCAAAGTCACCAGGATGGCGCCCCATCATATCTGACTGTGATGTGGACACCTGCGATGTGTTGTCTCCTCTACAGATAAACATTTGAAATCTCAATGCTTATAAATATTTCTACTGACGTCTAAATAAAGCCCTATAATAGACCATGGCATTGTGATTTAAAGCATTTTTACAGTTCTTGTGAAACAGTGCATGAATCTAGGCTTGTAAAAGTATGATCAGGGCTTGGTTATTTTCAAACTCTGCTGAAGGAGGTCCCAATGCAAATGTTACTAAAAATAAGTGAAATTGAATGAAACTCCACAACTCAGCTTTTCCTTATCTTCTATAGTACTTACTAGATGTGGAGAGAAGTTGGAATATTTTTCTATTTAACTTTTTAATCTTCTTTCCCATATACTAGGATGCTCAGGCTACATGTCTAGGGACTGCAAATCAAGAAGATCTTTCCTAAAATAGTTAAATGGACATTGCTTCAGACCAGTGTGTTTCAAACTTTTCTAATCCTATGAGGCACACTTTAATCTATAGTTAAACTTCCATGGCACATTTAAATTATGTTCTTTAAAAATTTTCATGGCACACCTAAGATCCTCTCATGGCACAGTGTGCTGTGGCATACAGGTTGAAAACCACTGCCTTAGACTTTTAAATTATCAACCTTTTGGCTCTCTAGAAAATACTAAAATACATGTGGTTTTTGCATTTCTATAATGCCCTTAAATTCAAATATAGTTTTATTTACTATCTAGATACTAAAGAACTGATACAGTTATCATGCTTGTGATAACTGTATCACAGCGTCAGATTTCAGAACAGGGGTGTCCAACCTGTGGTCCAACAAGCATTCAGAATGATCTTTTAAATTTTATTTACTCATGCTGGGAGAAAGCCTACTATTAAGACCATCTTTATGCCTGCATATGGAAGTAACAATGAGTGTCCAAAACTATTGTAATGTTTAATAGATACATACATAGCACTATGTGCCAAGCATTATTCTAAATGCTTTTCAAATACTAATTTTTATCCTCTCAGAAAACTCATTTATTATCCTATTTTATAGATTAAGAAATTGAGAGGCTAACTAATGTTTTCCTGGCCACACATCTTGCAAATGACAGAACTGAGATTTGAACCCAGAGATTAAGCTTACGCTAAGCAATGAGGTGGTACGTTTCAACTGCTGTGGACAGGGAGCTTTCCAAGGTTGCTCACTCTATTCTGTATATATATCTGCTATAGTCCTTATTATAATCTACCGCCTTGTATTGTATTTCTCATGTTGCTTTGAGTGGGCCAGCCAAATTGTCTTTAGCTTGTTGAGACCTTGGTTGCGTAGGGATTGCAACATCGTGGAAAGAACAGACAAAATTTACTCAACTCTATTTTTAAAATATTCTTTATTTTAAATGAAAACTAAATTGTTGTTGACTGTACTAAAGACTATATTTTATACTATAAAAACTGTACTGGAGACTCTAGTTATTTGTGAGTAGATATGTGATCTTGAAATGTTTTCTGTGTGATCTGTAGAAAATGAAATGAAAATACAGCATTTGACTATGAAAATACAAGGAGCAAAAGAAAAAGGGAAGAGAAATATTTTCTCTGTGAATACAAACTTTGGTGAATTTTTTATTGTTTATAATATAATGATTCTTGGTTGTTCTATCCTTGTGTCGTGGACCTTTTGATATCAGCTATTTCTCTATTACTGCTGCGACTGTGTAGAAATCAAATTTAGCCTTTTCTTAAGGTGTATTTCTCTGAAAATTAAATACAGTTTCAAAGTCTGCCTTATGAAAGTGAAGTAGGATGAAAACTGTTTTTCTTATTAATTGCTGTAACAAATTAGAAATAAACTCTTAGAAAACACCTTTTAGTAAAAAGTTACATTTACTGTTGACTTACCATATGCTGGACATTGTTTTAAGCATTTTACATGTAATAATTCATTCTCACAAGAACCACATGAGATGGGCTCTGTTATTATCTTTATAGATGAGGAGGAAACTGAGGTATAGACAGCAGCTAGATGGTTATGGAGTTTGTAAACAGTGGAGCTGAAGTTGCATTCCAGGCAATTTGGCATCCCTGAGTTTACCAACCTCAGGGTATAGATTTCATTATACTACCAAAAATGTGCCTTCTAGCAAAAGGCAGAAAGTGTTTCCCTCATTCATTTGAACAGTTCCTTGACTAAGTAGTCTGCAGAGATGATACATTAATTTAAGTTGTACATAGAGAGATGCATTTTTGAAATACGAAAACAGAGAATGTGAATCTTAGGTAAAATTGTTTTCAGATAGGGCCTTCAGTTACCCTGTATTCCATTAAGATCATAAACTTTGCTTCGTTAAAGCAATGAAATCAAATCTCCCTAACAATGGAGGAGCATCAGATTTGATTCCTGAAACAAAATATAGTTTGAAATCTGTCTTTTTCCATTTTGAAAAAAATATTGGTAATAGACTCTTTAGCTTTTGCAGACCTACTTTAAGACAGGATTTAAATGCTACCCTCCACACAAAGCTCTCCTGGATCTGCTCCTCCCTCTCAATACTAGTTAATAATAATTATCTCTTTTTCACTCCCATAAGATGAATTACAGCACTCTTCATGTCATGTATTTAATTTTGTTTTTTTTTTTTACAATTAACAGTTATTTGTCTTTCTGTTGAGCATATATTTCTCTAGAGGGAGGTCTTTGATTCATTCCCCCTAGGCCTTAGTTCATCCCCTTTAATATAGGGGTTTAATAAATGCTGACTTTGAACAAATTCCAGAAAGAGTGTGGAGACTTTACGTTTGCTTCCTGTTTTCTAAAACACTACTTAAGATGAATGGGGTAATCATGGAAAAGCATTAGAAATAGAATTATGTGAGAAATAACTATAGTTAAGACTAGGTTTATGACAGATTGGAACTTTCAGTGCAGACTTACATTATTTAGGCCAGATTATGTTTCGTGGAACAAACAATTCTGTTTCTTCCAGTTTCATTTCCGCTTTTGAGACAGCTGTGATTTGAGAAAAAGCTCTAGTCTGTGACATTCCACATTCAAGGAGACTTTGAGCTGTACACTAATTTATTTGTATTGGTAAGAATGAGGTAACGCAGTAATTAAAAGATTTAAACACTTTTTTAAAAAACAAAGTAACCTTATATGCATTGAATCTGTTTTTTTGTTTTGTTTTTGGTGTTTATTTAAAGATCTGCAGTGTTTTCTATGCAAAAGCCAATTTCCAAGAAG